TTGGTATTGTCCACATCAAGATCAGTTATCGGGGGCACCGAGACCATTGAGTCAACGCCCTACGCTGGAACCTGACTGGACAATCCTTTTAATGTTGAAAATTTGTCGAATTCATGTGAAATATAATGTACCACTGCTGACAATGGCATTGTAACCTTCAGCTTGGCTTATCACAGTAAATATCTTGTGAGGTCTATCGCAGCCAGTTTCCAAATCAGATAGTCGTCCACATGCCCGGAAAAGCACTAGACTGCAGTTTCAGCCTGTAGGGCGTTGTCAGTAGTGCGCATCCATCGGATCCGTCAGGATTCATACCCAAGACCACCAGCGGCTTGAACCGCCAGTCAGCAGCTTATGCCACTGGGCCACGGGGGACAGCTTCGGACCGCCATGATTTACTAGCTGACTGCTATGTAGCTCGTCTTATCCTCCACTGCCAAGCAAGTTACGAGCGTTGCAGAGGACATGGTTGGCCCCGGAAGACACGACGTTCACTAACAGTAGCTATGTACGACATAGCATTTAGAAACTGTCATGAGTACATCAAATATCTTGTGTTTCGAAGGATTGGGATGTGCTTTCTTGAATAACCAGACGTTTCAGCACAGTAGCTATCACTTTCAGCCAATGCTTCATTCGGAGTTCTTTCTTAACTGTTATTGCCTGACACTACTCCACCACTTTTGAACTCTCTTCGGCTGACTGGAATCCCACGCCGATATTTAGCCCAGCCTAAATATCGTAAGCTATCATTAGTGTTTTGTATTTTCTGCTATCTGTACGCTCTTTTTGATAAACTCATTTGATATCAAGGCGTCGCTAAATTGTGTGAGTACAATGGAACAATGATGAACTACGGGTAAAAAATCAAGACTTAACAAATCCAATGGGAAGATTATTGCGAAACTTATAATTCATGCTGAAGTGAAATGCTTCTTGATGTACTCACCATAGACCAATGTAGATGGGTGGAGACGTTTGCATGCTAAAAGTATAAATCCAAAAATCCACTGTGTAGGAGTTTGGAAACACACCGTTTATTTGCATTTTGTAGCCCCTGGCTAAAAACATATAAAATAAATTGCGAATGAGACAACACTTCGTCAAGCCGTTTTTTAAATATTGTTAACTTTGCGGCAGAAACGGCACTGGTTTGGAGAGCGTTCCACGGTGGACACAAGCGGGAGGAAAAGAATTTGCTACGGCATTCCAGCCGACCATACGTATTATTGGTTTCAGAGGATGACCTCATAGGTTAGTGTTATGGTTCAGTTCCAGCAGCTGGAGGAAAATCTGGTTTGTGTTCTTCAGAAGCTGGTAAAAATTTTGGGATTTCCTCACGAACCCCAATATTGACTGCTGTACATTCTAAGAGACTTCAGTCTAAGCTGATAGGGCAGATGAAAGCGGCCTTTTTGATTGCCCTTCGTTGAGCAACAAGGTCATGTTCCTGCTACAACTGCCACGCTTAGATGACGCATTCCACGTGCGGTCGCACCTAGGCATTAAGCATTGAGGGGAAGATTGAGGGGAAGATTGAGAGCTCAGACTGACCGAATGCTGTGTGAAAAAGAGCGAAATGTTGACTGCCGGTTCATGACGTCTTCTCTGTTTGTTTTGGGCACCCCAGGTCTTCCGGTACCAAGTCACCATCTTGAGACGCCTTCCGCATGGTGTAATCTCCAACCTTGCACACAATCACTAGGCGGTGACTCAGATAGGACAACTTACACTTAGTTGTGTTCACTTAACGTAGGTTCCTCGCTGACAATTCGTACACGCAATCTAGGTCACGTTGGAGCATTTCATGATCTTCCTTTTCATTAATTGCCAGCCATATGTTGACATCATCAGCGAAAAGTAAGAAATTTGAGGAGATAACACTTGCCAGCTTGTTGTCAACCACCAGGAATAAGCGCGGTCCCAGCACCGCGCTACGTGGGACACCGCATTGCAACACAGCCAGGCAAGAGAGTAATCTCCTAACACGGAGTTGAAGCTTCCGTTGGTGAAGAAAGTCGACAATCCAACCAAGAACAGGGTCTCCGATTCCGTAGCTCTGTAGCCGATGAAGTAGGACGCAGTGATCCAGGCGGTCGAAAGCTCTGCATAAGTCTATTAGATGACGTCAACTCCGACCCCAGTCATCAGCCACTTTCGTCCAACTACCTCGTGCAATCTGCAGGTTGGTGGTACATGACCGGTGTTGATGTAATCTATGCTGATACGGTACCAAGAAGTGTCGTTTTTCCAGGTAGTCCATTAAAGTCCCAGCAACGATTGCTTCCATCACTTTCGCTAGCACAAGGAGGAGAGACTCTGGGCGATAGTTTGCGGGATCTGAACGGGTACCACCTTTAAAAATTGGGGTGATAATATCATGTTTTAATATAATAGGGACTTGACGTTCATCAAAGTATCTTTCGAAGAACTTTGACAGTGGTTCAGCTAGTTTGGTGGCCGCAGTCTCCAGTGCTTTTGGGCGAATGTTATCCGCTCCCGAATAGTTATGATCTCGCAGTGGAAGTAAATTCCTTAGCACAATTACCGGGCTGAAACTTTCATTTATAATTTAGGAAGTCAGTACAGTGCTTGAGGTTATATGAAAAGTGGAGGCTGCGAGTTCGAAAATTAGGGCGTATTGTAGCCGCAGGGCATTAGCTGCTTCTTCGGCGCTTTGTACTCTATCGCCTGTTGTGAAAGGTAGAGGGATGCCATGCATTACTTTACGAAGACTGTTGACATGCCTATACATCATTTTGTAGTTTGCCAGAAACATTATGGCTATGCACTCATGAAAAGTCATTTTGTCCTCACGGACAGGTGTAGTGTAATCGTTGCGATGGGTCAGGAAATTGCCCTAAGTCTCTGAGTCGGAGTTAACGTATAAGGCACGCCATGCTGCATCGCTTATCGCGATAGATTTCCGAATCATGCTCCTTAGAATTGAAGTTTTCGAGGGAAGTAAGGGTTTTATCTCTGATGCGCTGCGTCTATCAACGAAATCTGTCCAACCGTTGTCAAGAGGACCGTCGTTTGAGGATTCACTTGCAGATGCGTCGACGAGTTCTTTCAGTACGTGGTAGTATGTGATTGTACAAGTTAATTCCGAGTGTTCAGATGGATACACTGCGTAACACACATTCTTTAAGGTTATTACTACATAGTCGTTGAGACCTAATGGACTCTCCATCAATAAGTTGTCAATCATGTGCTCTTCATTTATAAGCGCGAAGTCCAATGTGGCTGGTTTGTTTGCTGTCCTGAATGTAGCACGCGTGATGACATGATTGTACAAGGGAGGATTAGCGATAAGTTCACGTAACTCTCCTTTGAACTACTCATTGGGAGACTTCCATATCTCCAGATCGTGTACATTGAAATCGCTGGAGATGGGAATGTGGCCGTACCTAGTGCGCGTTACCCTGTTCAAAACCCTATCAAGAGAGAATTCACGTCCGAATTGAACCTTGGGGTGGAAAGCGACAGGTACGAGAAATGCCTCATTGTGTCTTGGTCGGAGAGGTTCCAGAGTGACTAGGTAACATGAGTTTCCCGATCATCAACTATTGCATATTGCAGGTCGCTGCCGTAGTAGAGAAGGACCCTACCTCCTCTGCAGGGGCGGTCGTCCCGGATAAGTGACATTCTTGATATCTCAACCTAAGCATCAGCCACTTCTTGGTACAACAAATTTTCAGTAATAAACATTACTTCCCAAGCATTTGTGAGCTAACTTAGATGAAGTTGGGGACAGGTTTTGTGCGGAACAGCTTTTCGGAGCCTCCTATATTACCTTCATCGAACAGGATCTTTTGCAGTGTTTCTAGCGGCAGTTTATTGGGTTAATTGAAAGCTGCTGCATTTTTAGAGCATTGTAATCTACTAATCACTTCTGCTGCGATAGCATCAATGGAGATATCAGCAGGTTTAAGATAAACTTTTTCGGCTTGCTGTCGTCTGTTGTAGGACGGTCAGAGGTCCGAGTATTTTGAGTGGTATCACTAAGTACTCAAAATGCAACTTTCAGCCCATCCAGCTCCTCTTGCATAGACTTGAACTTAATCGGTGTAGCGTTTAGGTGCTTAACCTGCTTTCCCGGGAGACTTCGCAGTCCTGTTAGGTTAGTGATATTTGGCAATTTTGTCAATTTAGCGGCAACTGGGGTTATTTGGGAGAAGGTATAAAAGCATGTGCGCCTGCCCGACACTAAAGATGACTGTTATGGAAGTTCGGTGTTAATCAAACGATGTCGGGAAGCTGTTACAGAGTTGCTCTACAGTGTCTAAGCTGGACTAGAGAAAGTACAGTTTACCAGTGCTGTCGCATTCACGTATACGCTGATTTTGGTCGCATCCTATTCCACAGTAGAAGAAGAGAATGGTGGGTATATATATATATATATATATATATCATGGTTTTCAGTATAACTGGTGTACAGCCTTCATAATAAAGGTTCTGGGTTGAATTCGACTGGAATTCTGATGCAGATTTGTTATATGCACAGTTTGTATGACAGATTGTAAACGTGTAGAAGGCTATCATATAGTCGCTGTAACCGAAGAATTTGGAATTAAAATCACTGCTCATGTTCCGGTGAGTTTTCTTTAGATGTAACTGAACAGGCGTTTGGTAAATGCGTTTACGATTTGGCGATTACTTGGAGGTTTATTGTGGACATTTATCGACTTTTATCCGCTGTCTAGTTTATATGTTTCGGTCCGCTTTTACCATCAAGTGTAATTTATAGCGACTTATAAGTGACAGTCGGGCACTCTGGTGTTTCCTTGACAACGGACTCACGGGAGAGAAAAACTACTGGAATACTAGTTCCAATTATCAACAAGTGCGATGCAACGGCTCATTCCTACTAGTCGAACAAACTTTGAAACTTCAGCGGATATAAACACCCCTTAGTAACCCTTCTGACAACATGCTTGATAAAACGTTCGTTACGCACACAAGGTGGTTGTAGTTCGATGCATCTCTTCTTTCGTCAGATCACTAATGGTAACACTCGATATCTGGGTCCTCCAGATCCTTGGAAGGATTGCACTGGTCTCGTACTCTGCGTTACAAAACGCCGCAACATACGGCAACTGTTGTTCCTGCTCTCGGGAGCCATCACCGCTTGGTACATAAGCCAGTCCATGAAAGAGAAGAAGATTGTGGAATATCGTTTCGACTTGCACAAATACACGGAAACACAACGCTTCAACATTCGCGAAATAGACATCAGTGTACCGAGGACGAAGGTAGTGTTGTCGCACACGGAATTCAAACCCAAAGACACTGATGAGTCCATTGTAAAGCAAATCTTTCTGTTGTATCCAAAGCGAAAGCAGCCGCGTATTTTATGCTACCTCAATACTCACCCACGTAACTATGGCGCGAAAGCAATACATACGCATTTCACATGGGCGCGAAGATGTACCAAACATTTGTATACAAGCACCAAGGAGGACCCTGTGCTACCAATCCTGAGTGAGTTTAAGGTCTGTCGAAATACTACTAATTGTATTGTACGTGTTTACCTGGCTTTTATCTGTGCCTCTTGGTAGTGCGCGTTTGCATTAATATTTGTTTCTCAATGTACCGGTGAAACGACACTAATGCTTTCACGCCAGCACAGCTGCAAAGAATGAAACACGGAAATGCTAGTGGTTATTCGGTGCTAACAAACCAAATAGACTCTCACTGACCGTTTACAATACTAAAATATGAAAGATTAGTAGTTAGCAACTTTATTCTGTATTCCAGGATAAATACCAATGATGTTGGCGTTTCGAAGTTTACGTTTTTCTGGGTATAAAACTAGTACTGGATAACGAAGGAAAAGCACATATATAGCTGTTGATTATGCACTTGATAAAAGCATATGGCTTGGGACATGTCTAGGAGATTACGTGAATTCAGAAACCCATCTTTCGTCTTGGGTTTTAAAGAAGAAATCACATGAATGGCAAGCATCGTGTACGCAACTTCATATTTTGCATGCTATCTATCGTTTGCTTTAAAAAATGAAAATGGAAAAGCTTGATGAAATAATCTATCAGTTAAGTGGAAAATCGAGGACATTCAGTTGCTAAGTGGCACGTACCCACCACGCTAATGTAGTTAGTCAGATGGAAAATCGAATATACTGAAGATCGTGAGCAGATTATTAAACGAAATCTTGAACTTACGAGATCACTGACGAGGAAAATGAGAGAGTGGAGGGTCTTTGAGACCAAAAAGGAGGAAGAAAATCAAATGCATCTACAGTGTGTGGGTGTGCGTGCAGTTCCTTTGCCCTAAGCCTCAGCTCACTACCACTGCATGAGGGTTATTGCGATTGATATATATATATATATATATATATATATATTCAGCTATCCTCGATTAGAGGCAAATGCAATGATAAAAATATAATGTGTACTGCTCATCTTGTAAGAAGCTGCATCGATACTGGGTGTAGTTGATTGTTGCATCGGTATAACATGGTTGTGTTTGACTTAGTCTGCGCGTTTTTCATGCACTGAGTATGGTTCACAAGACGGTATTTAACCGCAGTATGAAGGGTATTGTTGCGTTTCGAGAACGTTGCAGCCACTCTAGGTTGGTTGCCATGTGTGGATTGTCGCCACTTCTACTGCTTAGATGTCACTGCATCCTTCTTGAAACTGTTTATTGGCAAGTTTCCCCATTAGAACAAGGTCAGAATCATGTTCAGTTCGAACTAACCTAATCCGGATTTTGGAGCTTGTGGCAGTAGCTTCCATATTAAATAGTCACCTGCGTGCCTGGAAAGTCACTGGACTGCATCTTCAACCTCTTGGTCACCATCAGCATTGTATATTCATCGAACCCATCAGTATTCGAAAGCATGACCACCTGTAGCTTGTACCGCCAGCCAGTAGCTTATGCCACTGTACAACAGGAGACAGACTTGCATCCACGTTATTTACAAGTCAACTGCCATATAGCGCGTCTCATCATCCACTAGCACGCAAGTTACAGACTTTGTGGAGGAGACGACTTCTCTTAGTAGTATTAGTAGTACTAGTAGTAGCAGCAGCAGAAGCAGCTGTGTACAAAATAACATCTAGCGAGTACAGCGGACATTTTGGCACACCGATGACAAGGGAGTTTGAATTTATTCGTTAGAGGTTTTTCGTAATCACTTCGAAACCAGTTAGTTCTCTGATTAGGAAGCGATTGCGAAGAACGCCAACCATAAGCACCAAAATCCCTAGCCATGCGCATACTAATACTAATGCTAGCTGCACTCTCACAAGACCTGGTTGCGATTAATAACATTGTTTGTCAAACTGGAATGAAGTGAGCTCGCATAATTTTCCATCACCTTGATACAATGCCAGTCTCTATCATGAAGTGATGTAGGTTAAATGCAGGCGTTAGATCGGTATTCACTCCTTAGACACTTGTTAAGCTATCCACGTTAGCAACAATGAACCTGAAACGGTAAATTTTAACTTGCTGTATCTCCACAAACAAATTGATAAATAGGTGCGATTTGAAGTTAAATGATAGTCTACTGTGTACTTTTGGATAACAGAACTCAATCTATCTGCACCGGAGACAAGAAGCCACCTATGGAGCAAGATGCGAGTCGTGCTGCGTCAAATTTATCAGTACGTGGAAGAATTTGAATTTTTCCTCAAAGGAGATGACGACACATTTGTGATCATGGAAAACCTACTGGCGATATTACGAAAACAATCACCAGATGATCCATTCATGATGGGTTACTGGTATCCTGTAAGTTTAACCGAAAGTGACTGCAATTTTGGCACGGAAGGAATAGTAATTTAAAATTGTTTAACGTGAGAAAACCTGCTTACTTTTAACTAGTTAATAGGCAAATGCACGACTTAAGCAATGCGTGCTATGCACAGCAGCGAGTGAGACCCATTATCTATCGGCTGTAAGTGCAAAAAGTACGCTCAGACGTAATCATACAACCCGCTTTATCCAATCATCCTTTGAGTAAGGAAATGAGTTTAGGTAATCCAGAGTGTCGCCTCCACCTTCTTGGTTGTTTCGACAACAGGTCAGGTTCGTCAAACAGGATGTGGTGATCAGTTAACTCGGGTCCTTCTATACACCCGACTGGTTAGTTAGGTGCATTGTCAAATTCGCTTGAGTAACCCAATCAGTGTAACTGAGGGCACAAAGTGTTTCCGTGGAAGGGAGTGGCTGTAAGTGATCTGAGTAACGATTGCAGACTTTCACTTAATTCCACAGCATATCGTCAAGTGCAGCAAGCAGGTGAAATGCAGCATTTATTTGTAATCGGATTTGTGTGGTACTGTTTGTTAATGAAAACGGAAATCGCTTGAGCTTTTGTTATTCCCTGTGCATCTCGAATCTTGTGTCAAACCAATCCATGACCAAGTCAGTACCACCAATGTGTTAATAGCTAGTTGGTTTAACGAAGATGATCAGCACGGCGTAGGCCGGTAGGAGGTGAAGCAATGAAAGCTTGAGAACCCTACCCCATGTGGAGACAGATTCAATGACTGGCTCTTCCGCTTCACAGCTTTTACCATACACGAAACCCAGTTGTGAATAATGCACTGTAGTCCATTCCAACTGACTGCCGTATGCGTAATCCGCCTGATGGCAATCCTCTACACCATTTGTTATGGTACCCGAATGAACCGCCATGACCTTAGAAGCACATCAGTGTTCCTGAGATCGCGCCGAAAGTACCAAGAACGTCAGTTTTCCTTGCAAGCCATGGGCCTTAAAATGCCATCTATGCCGGCCTAGACCCACAGCCGCCTGCTCGGGCAGATGGATATACCCTTTAATTTACTTCCATATATGGCAGTTTTAGAGATTTTGATTGTTATATACCTAAGTACCGATACTATCTGCTTGCTTACCAGCTTCCATGGCGTTAAAAGCATAGACTACAAGTTATGTACGACATTCTGGTTGGTACCAAGGCCAACAATGTCTGCCATCAACTTGTCTAGTCTGCGCTCATTATCACTGAACTTCAAACCGTTTCGCACTTGAGGTTCGTTCCAAATTGCCCATGACCTAGTTAGCAGAACCGATACACTTGTTTCTTCAACAGAATCAGGTAAAGGATATTTAACTATTTGTTATCTTTTTATATAAAATTCGCTAGTTTTAGGATACTTCTATCTACACACGATACATTTTTGCATGGCACATGATTTAAAAATGGGCGGTACGTAAATCCTTAAATTTTCAAACTGGTGAAATTATCTCGGATAAGGCTAACAGACATCAAGAATGTAGGACCCCTTCTTGCTGATATGACATATATAATGCATGCATTAGTTGTTATACTTTCATGCTATAAATAGGCCGAGCATTGGACTGGAGGCAAGATTAAGCTGAAAGGCTGCAGATGGTTCGGCGTAGTAATACGAAGCTTTGTCGTAAATGTTCGCATCAACGCAATGTTTGTACGGTTGTATTATGATCGAAACGATCACAGATTGAGCACCTAAAATCATGTAGGAATTGAGAGCGAATAATACTTGGAACCTTCGTTGTGTAATAATTGTTAGTTGCTCAGTTTTTCCATTCTCTTCAGTTATCAGCGTGTACGCAATTTCATCCATAAAAACACAGTCGATCACTCGGGGTGGATACTTCTCCGGCGGCGCAGGCTATGTGTTGTCGCGATCCGCACTAAGGAAGTTGGTCGAAGAAGCACTTGACAAAAATCGCTACTGCCCCACTTTCGATGAAGACAAAGAAGACGCAAAGATTAGTGAGTACCGATGTATTACTTGAATACCACAGCGGTTAAAATAGTAGGCTATCATAGTAAAAGGCTGTGCTCCCAAAATGACGGATTATGTTGTGTAGAGATTTACAAGTTTTAGGAGATCAAAGGGCAATTGCGTATAGAATGTCAGCTATATAGAACTGAGCTTGTAGTCATGGACATCTATTTCCTTGGGCTCATTATCGGGAGTGGAAATAAAATAGCAGGTTAATTACTAACAAAAACACAACGGTATCACAAGTGCTTGGGGTTTGTGTTCAGTACACTCACGGTTTGGGAAATATGGTTCATGTAACAACTAGAAACGGATAAGCAGATAAAGTTATAATGTAATAACATAACAAAGCAGGAGACACCCGGGGATCTAATATGCTTCAAATCATTTGGTCACCCGTGTTTATGGGAATCATGCTAATGTGTTGAATAACTTCAGTTCCTCGATACGGTATATAAACAAGTAAATGGCGTAGGAGATAAGAATATTAGAAAGAGGACAGGCATAGGGAGAAAATCGGAGGTAAGAAAATAAAGGGAGAACTGACGACACGATGAGCTCAGATGGAGAACCGTCTTAATTACCATTGACAGTAACCCTATGATATAACGGTCGTTCAGAGTAAGATAATAGCAAAAGCTAAACAATAGTTTAAGCAGAAGACAAAAGCATATTACCCGTCCGAACACACTGTACTCCATGACGCGTTTCGACTTAACTTGATCTCATCTCGTAGAGATAGTAGGCCAAGCGTTGCCCGTCGTGAGCCGGTGGCTTGGGGGTAGAAGTCCCAATTAACATCCCAATGGTCTTCAGTTCGAGGCCTGCTATCTCCGCTAGATGCGAGTACATGTGATCGAAACGCGTCGTGAGGGTTAAAATGACTTGTTCCCCTGGTAACTGGGGTTGATAGTTCCTGGGTTCACGTGTTTGGGAAATATGAGCGATTGATCAACTTGGTCGCTAACGGTCCCGAACTCCGGGCTAGATCTATTGCTCAACACACCTTAAATAGCGCTACATGTCAATGTCCTTGTGATTCGTTTCAAGTAATTAGTCTACAGAGTAATGCCTGATTGTTTCAGTTTACCGAAGCCACAACTATTCGGCGGCTAATGCCAAACTTGTGCAAGATGACTAAACTTACAGCCAGTCTCGCCTTACCTTGGTAGGCTCACTGAGCGTTTTTCTTTGAAATGAATGATCTTGTACATTGTTTCCCTATTGTGCGCAAGGGGATAATTCCAAGAATATATGCAAACAGTTGACGAGAACATTCGAAATACCTGAATCCAAAGTAACCTGAAAGTGTTTATTCTGCTTGCTATTTTGAAACTTGTGAAGGGAAAATCCTGTATGAAATATCGAACTAGTAGTTTGAGAGGCATGATACAGCAGTTAACAGAGCAGCTCAGCTTAGCAATAAAACGCAGAGTGGAGAATACTCGGAAGACAAAAGGTGAGACATTAAAGAAGAGGTTGATGAAATTGACTTACGACAATCGCAGAAATAACCACGAGGACTGGATCCAAAAACTATCCAATCGGCCACTTTCCGTAGCAGCAAAACAAGTCCTCACCAAAAGGCTCAAATACAACTTCAAGGATGATAAGACTACACAGAGTTCCTGTCCGGATGCGAAAGCGCAACCCAGCGGGTTTGAAGACGATACGCAGAAACAACTAAGATATCCAAGTATTCCAGTTATAGCACTGAACAAACAGCACAATTCTCTATCGCAACAAGAAAGGTCTTCAATAACAGCCCCGAAAGGCGATGAATCCATTGTCGTTTTACCTGCGGACAAGGGGCGCGTGATGGTTACATTGGATAAAGCTGATCATGTTGAAAAAGCGAAACAACTTCTGAGCGACACAACCATCTACCGCCGCATCGCAAACGATCCAATAACGCAACGGACAAACAAAATAAACTGAAGATCAAAATTGCTCTAGGAGTGAAACCAGATCACAAAAGAAGTCGGTGACAGAATGACAGCCCGCGATCCGAACATGGCACAAATCTACGGGTTTCCAAAGATACATAAATATAGTGCACCACTAAGACCAAGCTTACCGCTAACAGGCACACCTATGTACAACCTAGCGAGAGAGTTGTAGTGACATATCAAGCACCTAAGAATTGGATCGAAGCACTCCATACACAGTACACAACAATTTCTGGGGAAGCTACAAAGTACACGAGTAGATCATGACGAGATGCTTGTGTCGTTCAACTTGGCCGCACTCTTTACGTCTGTTAACTTACTGCTCGACCAAAGTGAGAAAAGAATCGAAAGGCTGCCGACTGAACATCTGTGCAAGCTATTTGACCTCTGCCTAGCGACCTACTTCGATTTTGCTGGACAGATTATGAACGGGAGAAGAAAGCACCGAGGGGATCCACTTTGTCAGGGCTGATAGCAGAAATTGTAATGTAGAAACTTGAAGACGAGATATTGCCTATAATTAACACAAGGTTGTGGATCCGTTATGTCGAAGATACCTTCGTGATACTGAAACGTAGTCAGGTAGAAGCTGCATACCAGTTGTTCAGTGACGCCATTAAAGACATTAAATTTACGATGGAATCGGAGATGGAAGACCAGGTCCCATTCATGGATGTGTTAGTCACCAGGACCATTGACGGACAGCAGTTAACATCGGGTTACAGGAAAGAAACACACACCGACCCGACTCTAAACTACTACAACAATCACTCGAAATGTAACAAAATAAGCTGCGTGCGAACTCTCTTTCGTGGAATTGAAACATTGCAACACTCTTGAGGCAAAGCGGAAAAAAGAGATGCGTCGGGCTATATCGTAGTTAACTAACAACTCGTGAAGGTCGCTAACCCTGTCCCATGATTCAGTAACATATGCTGCGGGCTAGTTGGCACAAGCCACTAGCAGCCATGGGTTCGATCCTCCGAAGACGACCGAAGGATGCGCACCATTGAGGAGCCCCAGTAGGGCGAAACCGCCGCCTAGTGGTTTTCCAGAGAGGTATTTGACTTGTCTGAATTGTCGGCTGATTGCGCCGAAAACAAAATAGAGGTAGATCTGTTCAGATCATTTCAGTTAAAAGGATATCCACATAGCTTTGTCTAGTGCTGTCTAAACAACAAAGCTACGACGTCCCAGCCTATTGAAAAGAGAATAAAGAGAATCCTTATAACCTATGAAAGGAAGCTCGAGATGACAGCAAGCTTATTAGAAAGGCACGGTCATAGAGTAGATTACAAACCAATTGCCACATTGAGAAGAGCGGTGTCGGAACCCATAGCTAGACCTGAAGCCCGAAAGACAAAATGTTGTTTACAAGATAAGATGTCATGATTTTGATGAGAATTATGTGGGTAAAACAGGAACGTGACTGTCAACAGGAATGCAAGAGCATAAGAAGGCTTGTAAGCATCATTACGCTCTCACTGTTTGCATTATATATGGACGACGAAGGAAGCCGCTCAGATTGGAACAACCCAGAGGTCCTAGCAAAGGGAAAGACACTAAAACTAAGAGAGTTCCTGGAAACATGGTACTCGACGAAGCACTCGATAAACATGCACATCAAGATTGACGAATTTTACTAAACATTAAGACGGAGAGAACCAAAAGAGTTTAAAAACCGTTGTGCGCAGCTAAATGATCCGTCAACAACACAACCGCAAAACACTCGGTGAAAAACCATCCCACGAATCGCCAGTGTCTATCGGAGAGGTTGGACAGACGAGTAGAACTCACGGGGTGCAGATCGAGGAGGTCAATTCAAAAGTTCCATGCTGGTTGGGCACAAATCGACGACTAAGTCAGCGGACTACATCTGACCGAGCAGTGCACTGAGGAAGTCACCTCGTTTGGTCATGAAACATTTGTATACCGGTTACGAAGCGTATCGAACAGGCGAACTCAGAAACGTCGTGATGTGCTGTGCTTTCGGGCGGGCAACACCCAATTTCCTCCTGCCTCATTAACCGCGGTTCTGCTGATCGGACTGACCAAGATCCCCTACAACGCGAATCACGTTCTACATTGCTTTTGTATGTCGCAAGTTATACACACAACGAGCATTTCACCATGACTCTCCAGTCAATATTCCAGCTATTTTAAGCAGTTAAAGGGTGTCACGAACTCAACTTACCCGACTGTAAATTAAAAGAGAGTAAAAAGAGAGTAGTAGTAAGGAAAATATTCATAATCATAATGATAATAATAGCAATAATAGGTATACCCACAAAAAGCTGAGGTACAGTTCATCGGGGCTGTCCTGATCATATGGTACAGAGGAAATTCATGGTGATAAGACAATGATTGTTTCACAAGACAAAATGCAGGTGTTTTTCTATTGATTCTTTCAATATTAATTGTGCTCCGATTTGGTTTTTGAACGGACAGCATGCAGGAGGCGTTCAGGTTTATTTACGCGCATTATTGTAATGACTGAGGGGATAGAAATAACCTGCGCATTAAAGTGTGATTAAAGTAAGTAATACTATTGGTGCTTGGTAAACTCCTTAACAACTGGTAAGAAGTCTGAGCAGATAACAAATACGTAAATATAATACCGATAACATGGGCGCTGTCTCTGTTATGAACGATGTAAATCCGTTGGAAAGAACAAATAGCTCCACACAGTCAGCGGGATATGATACCAGAGCGCATATGAAACTTTGCACATTATTTGGTGGTTAGGCGTGAGGAGCATCAAAGCCCTAGCTTTCCATTCGGTCTAAATAGTACAGGCACTCATGCAACGTTCATCCAGGTGGATAAGGGAAATGAAGGAATATAGAGAGGAAGCGAACATAAGGTCTATTTATCCAACGCATCGACGCACACAACTTTTTCATAGTCCTCTGTTGGGTCTTCAAGCTAAATGAAAGCGGAATAAAGTAACCAACGAATAAATGCGCCAAAGATTGCCTACCTTTATCCAACCGATCGGTGTGACAATGTTTTCACTGGACATCAGTGGGTCATCAACCTGAATAAAATCGAAGGAAGAGGCATTGTAGAAGGAAATATAAAGGATAAATCCCAATTATCCCACCTGGTAATGCGTTCCTGTTTGCATAGCTCATCGATAAACCATCAGCTTGAGTAATAACGAAGGGTGTGATAACTTAGGAGAGGGAGGAAAAATATATATGCTTTACTTATCTAAAATTATAATTATGTTCATAATGGGTACATGAGTTAGTCACCAGCGAGTATCAGCCATAGTCAAGATACGTGGTAAAGCTCCCAATATAAACAGCTCCTAGCTCACTCGGTGTGTGCGGCCGAGAAGAGGGTCTATACGGATCGATTGCGATGGCTTGAGCAATATAGTTGACTCGCTTCTAACGACTAGGTAATTACGGACCTCCCGGTTAACTAAACTTTACTTAGAGCGTGATAACGCATAGTCACACACGCTGTCAAGTATCTGCTTTTGCTGCGAGGATTCTCTGGTTGAATGTAATGCTTTCCTCAGCGAATTAACGTACCATCGTGATGCATATTGCTAATGTTTAAGGACACATGCTAGCACTGTGCATAGCTCTAATAAAGTTTGACTTCTCATTAGGGCGATCGTTTAATATCGAGTGATTGAAATAGAATACTTGGAAACGGTACTGATGGGGATAAACACAGTCAAATGACGAAACGCAGATGTTGTCACTACGGCCGAAAGAAGTGGAAAATAAAGTAATATTTGTCGCACTAAAACAAGAATTTTACTGTACATGATACTTTCCACGGGCATTGTTCTACACTTGAAACTCGAAACTCTAGGACGCCCATTGGAGTAGCTAAAAATTGACAGGTGGTGGACCCAGCTTCTGAGCAAATAGTTCTGTGTGTCTGAAATCGGAAGCAACTGCTGCCCAAACTGTGTTCAGGTAGCAACAGATACCGACTGATTTCCATGTTCCACTAGATCAACTAGGAATATACGAAGGCGATATATGGAAAACAAGCGCACGCCTCGTATCGTACCGTGGTAAATGTTGTCCTTCTGGACTTTGTAACCATATACTAGATTCCATTTTCTAAATCTTTTAAATGTATAGACCCTCGGTGGTTAGTACCAGATGATCAATGTGTTGCTATACTCAACATCGAAGATAATTGCTAGTCAACGTCCTCTTACTCTCAAAACTCAGAATTATGAAACGGTAATTATCGAAGCAGAAGTTTGGCTCGATTGGTGGAAAACGCTAGCAGTGAGGGCATTCCATCAACTGACAACGAGAATTCATTACTTATTAGTTTATCATTGTTTTCATAATGATAGTCATTAACTATTAAATTTATGTCGATCGAAACTGCAGTTTTTCTTACAACAAGTCGGAGAAACGCTACCGACATCACCAGTCACAAATCATTACCAATGCTGTCTAACATGGGGTAATCGAGGAGTTGGCATGATCGCGCATTTATTCTACTGCTTAAAATCATTTTTAAGTCTATTAGCGGAATGCGCTTTTTACCTTGTCATAATAATCTTGAATGCTTGGACTAATACCAATTTTTTCACTAGGCTCCGCTTTGAGTTTTACTGCGCCCCACTCTTTGACAACTCGGTTCACCGTACCTTTGTTTTTGGATCTAAAACTGAGATCGTATTAAGAGCAAGTAGAAAAACTTCTGTACAGCCCTAACGATTTATGAAACATCAAAAAGAGTTAACTGCGGATTATCAGCGGCCGTGTTTCGTCAGTTAATTATTTGTCCTTGTTCGGTTAGAAGATCGTATTGGTGTCATTATTTCCGGTATATGATATATTGTTGTATTGTCTGTTTACTGTTCCACAAAAACATAGTTTTTCGAAATAATCTTCGATACGTGTTTGGAAACACT